ATTGTGTCCCGTGTGTTCCAGGAGAGTGCTGCTTTCGGCTACACTCCGTTCGTCCATCGTTGCCCTTGCTCTTGTGTGTCCTGCATCCTTAAATACATCCAGTGAAAATGGGCACAAATGTATTCTGGACAAAACAGCACCGCAGGGAATGGGGCCGCCAGGATGCAGGGCCATTCCTCAGCTTGCAGCTCCAGAAACTTGAGTTTGACCTACCGCCCAGTGGGGCCCACACTCAGGAACAGACTGGTGTGAAACGTCTTAGGAGACTGATGAAAGAGTTCCGTATGTGATTATTCAGCATCTGTGAGAAGCTACATCATCAAGGAAAGAACCAATGGGGAAACGGTGAATGCACTCGTCCTCTGAGGCCCTGTTTCCCACAAGTTGCTTTAATTCTGATAAAGCCCAACCGCCAAAGATTGATATCAGAGATAAACTGGCAGTCCATCAGAGGTTTACTGATTTGCTGCAACAAGGGAAAACTTCACACCAGGAGAACTGTGGGGCATTTCACCAAACGGGAAAAATAGGGTTCTTATAAGATTTGAGGGAAAGGTGGAGTTTAAATAAAAAAGTAAATGAAGCAGTGCTTTTTTGTTATCTGTTTGCTTTGCTACAGGCACAGCAAATGGCCTGAGTGTGCAGGGGTGAACATCAGGCCTGGGCTGAGAAAGGGACTCGGGGGCCTGTTTTCTTGGAAACTGCTAAAGTAAGCCAAATGTAAAATGTGTCCAAAACACCTTTTCTGAGTTCTGCACCTTACTGGAAATCAAGGCTACCTCTTCGTATGAAAGCAGTTGAAGTGGTTCAGATTGTCCAGGCAGCAGTAGGATAATTCCATCCTCATCACATGATTTCTGACAGCCCATGATGGTAGAGAATAGGGTCCCTCAGCACTATGTCTTGATGCTAATTAACAAAAGTCGTTTTTACAGGTTCACATTTCCTATTGACTACTGAACATTTCTGTTGGCACCATCACCGAGTATCACTTCAAACTCTGACAGATTTATAAAAAATGCATCTATCCTTCCTCACTTCTTACATTAATGGCTACAGTCATTCTCCTCAGACACCGCTACAGTAAAAACCTAGATACAATTCCTTCCTCAGACATCACTTTCTTCTCATATAGGATCACTCTCCAAATGTGAATGAGCCCCCTTCTTGGGAAAAAGTTAAACTTACTAGTGTGACTTAGGTTTTAGGGATTTTAAAACTAAAACAAATTATAGCCGGTAGGAAAGTTTTCTCTAGGTTGGAGGCGGCTCACCCTGTGATGGTGTGAAGGAGTCACTGGGAAAAATAGATTCTACTGGAGAAAACAGAGACAAGATGAGATCCTACAGGAGGGACTTATCACAAGCTTTAAGAAAGGCAAGAGATGTTAAAAGCTTTGTAATTGGAGGTCCAAGAGTAGGAGAGCCTCCGTATAAGACAGATGGGATCCTGGGGTGAAGTGTCCTACCATCAATACCATGTGGCCCCAGTGTTCTACCCACCACCTTGAATGCCGGCATCATTCATCACCCTCTGTTATGGGTTGAATTGTGTCTCCCAAAAATATATATCGAAATCTTAACCCCTGTACCTATAAAAGGTACCTTTAAGTAATCTGAGTCTTTATATTTAAAGTCGGTTCCTTATAGACAACGTATAGTTGAGTCTCGATTTTTATCCACTCTGACAATCTCTGTCTTTTAATCAGTGTATTTAGATCATTCACATTTAAAGTGATTATTGATATAGTTGGATTAATATCTACCATGTTTGTAACTGTTTTTTATTCCTTGTATTTATTCTTTTTTCTCACTTCTCTGGTTTTAGTTGAGCACATTTTATATGGTTCTGTTTTATCCCCTCTCTTAGCATATCAGTTATACTTCTTTTGCAAAAATTTTTAGTGTTTGCCCAAATATGCATTTGTAACTAGTCTAAGTCCCCCTTCAGAAAGGACTATACCACTTCATATGTAGTGCAGGTAACTTTATAACAGATTATTACCAATTCCTCCTTCCCATCCCTTATAACACTGCTATTATTCATTTTACTTATCCATATATTATAACCACTCAATACACTGTTACAATTATTACTTTAATCAAACAGTTCTCTTTTATGTCAATTAAGAATAAAATAAATGTTAAAGAATTAATTTTACCTTCATTTCTTCCTTCTCCAATGCTCTTCCTGTCTTTATCTAGACCCAAGTTTTTGTCTTACGCCATTTTCCTTCTGAGTGAAGAACTTCTTTTAACATTTCTTGCAAAGGAGGTCTGGTGATTAATTCCCTTGGTTTTTGTTTGGCAAAGAACGCCTTTACTTCCCCTTCACTTTTGAAGGATAATTTCACTGGATATAGAATTCTAGGTTGTTGGGGATTTTTTTTCCAACCCCTCAACTATTATACTCCACTCTCTTCTTGCTTTAATGGTTTCCGATAAGAAGTCCACTATAATTCATATCCTCGTTCCTACAAGATAAGTTGTGTGTGTTTCCTTCTGGATGCTTTCAAGATTTTCTCTTTGCCTTTGGTTTTCTGCAGTTTGAGTACGATTTAACTAAGTGCAGTTGCTATTGGTGTTTTTATCCTGCTTTGTGTTTCCTCAGCTTCATGGATCTGCAGTTTGTTGTTAGTCATTAATTTTGGCAACTTCTCAGCCATTATGACTTCAAATATTTGTTTTGCTTCATTTTTTTTTCTTTCTTTCTTCTCTTTCTCATATTCCAATTATGCATATGTTATACCTTTTGAAATTGTCCCACATTTCTTGGATGTTCTGCTCTGTTTTTTGTTGTTGTTTCCATTTTTTTTCCTCTTTGCATTCCAGATTTGAAAGTTTCTACTGACCTATCTTCAGGCTCACTAGTTGATTTTCAACCATGTAAAGTCTAGTGATGAAATCTGTCAAAGGCATTCTTCATTTTCATCGCAGTGTTTTTTTGTTTTGTTTTTTTGTAGCATTTCCTTTTGTTTCTGTCTCAAAATTTCCATCCCTCTGCTTATGTTACCCATCTCTTAGAGCCCTGAACATATGAATCACAGTTATTTTAAATTCTATGTTTGATAATTCTGATCTCTGTGTCGTATCTAATTCTGGCTCTGAGGCTT